GGTGCCACCTTGGCTTATCGAGCTGCATCGGTTAATGCAAAATGTGTGTTCATGGTGTTCGCTGTTCGATGGTGTTCGCTTGAAGGTGGCTGAGAGGCTCACGGTAGCAGCATAGAGTTGAACATGCTCCGGGTAGTATGTAAATGTAGGCTACTTTTCTTGGACGAAGTCCATGCATGTCCAAGCCGCTGTGTGGCTTGCAAAGCATGCATAAGCTTTGTGCCCACGGATCTGCTGGAGGTGGTCATTCAGGGATGGCAAGCAGCTGTCTTCGAGGGCTGGAGGCAAGCGGCATGAACAGCCCGGCTTGCAATATCAGTGGGTGTTGAATGCTTCTAGACCTCTGGCCCTGTCAGCTCAAGACATCCAAACATGTTCAAGAATCTTTTCAACGCATGACTCTAGCCAAGAATGATGCCAGGCTGCCGCAGGAGTTGCGAGTTCGAGATGTGTCGTGGCGAACTCCCCCAGAGGAGCGCGACAGTTGCTGGTTACAGGTGTCCGCAGCAGTGCTTTCCTGAAGACTTTAATTACACTGCAGCACAACAAACCAGCCTGGCTTGGGCTGCTTTACTGGTTGGGTGTAGAACTCTCAAGCCTAGTTCCTCCTAGTCTGCGAAAGTGTGCTGTGATTGCAGATTGCACAGCGCACAGGAGCTGCCGTGTCTATGGCAAAAACACAGCCAGTGCCATTAAAAGCATAAACTTGATGCACTGGGTGTTATGTTGAGCTGCACATGTTTTCAGGAGCCATTGGTGCCGCGGCCGCGTGGGCCAAATTTTATGATGCACGCTGAGTTGGCCGCCAAGGGCTTGACCAAGTGGCCCTGACCTCTGCAGCTTTTCAATTCGCAGCCAAGCCTATGGAACTGACCATCCCAGACAGTCCACAGCTTTGCGGCAGCCGTGGCAAGGTCAGAACCAGAAGAGGTGGAAGGTCCGCTGAGCGCCGCGCTTGCGCCTTGGATGCTGCGGTTGCAGCAGGTTTGCATAATGCATTTTTAAGTTTTCCGGATCTAAAGGCAATGTTGTTCCTGTTGCGCTGCGCTAACTAGTTGTTAGTGTGGAGTGTGATCGAGCTCGCCTTTCTAAGGGAGCTGTACGAAGCCAATGCAAGGGCACATGCCACATTTGCCAGTTGGGCCGTGAGTTGAGCGCTCAGGGCGCTTTGAGGACATCACGTATGCTGAATCCTACTGCCAGTGTTGCAAGGTGCCAGCCGAAGACATATGGCACAAGCGTTCGAGCTGTTTCCCTAGCTTGACAGTGTCAGCGTGCTTCTGCCTGCAGCGCCGACCTTCCAGCACGTATAAAAAAGATTAGATTGGAAGAGTTGAGCCCCTATGAATGTCACGAGGTCGCGGCCCGCTGATGCTGCAAGTGCTGAAGACCAGGACGACCTACCAGAAGACATGGCTTGTGCGAAGCATCTCAGCCTGCCTGGTCAGGTTGCAGACCAAGCAGTTCAGCGCGCAACCCAAAGCATCGAGCAGGCGGTGCAACAGGATGAATCTGCTCAACTCCCCCAGAGATGTCCAGCATCCCTTCTCCAAGTCTTGGGGGCCATGCTGTCAAAGGACCTCCTCCTCCAGGAACTGCATGGTGGCACAGCTTGGCCGCAGCGGGCCGAGATTCGGCTAGGTAGATTCCGTTTCCGGGGTGGGTGGGGGTGCAGCACTGAAAGCGGGGATTGCCCCTCACGAGTAGGTCAGATAGTGAAACATGACTTCGAAGATCAGATGTCTGAGTCCGCCGTTGCTACCTCCACGACCTGTTCTTCCTGGCGATGCCGGATGGCAGGACGCCAGCGCTGCACAGCTTGCCGCAGCCGTTGCCAATTCCTTAGGTGCCGTGAGAAGTAGGTGGAAGCCAGCAATTTCTTCTGCAGGAGCGAGTTGAACGTGCAGGTGGGCATTCAATTTTGCCTTTCACTCGGGTGAGCATTTCCAAACTTGGTCATGTCTTCAGGGCGGCTGTTCGCGTCGGCGTCCATGGACACCTCGTCTGACGTGCAGGCACCGCAAAATGATTCTGTTGAGCCCAAAACTTGCAGGTCCGCTTTCATCTGCATGGATTGAATCGACCGTGTCTGACAACAGAGGAGCAAGTGCTTCTCGTACGGAGCGACGGCGTACTCACCACCTTCCATGCCGAAGCGCCTGAAGGAGTTACCTGCATTTTGGGAGTTTAGGGTTCAGGCAGAAGACCATGCCAAGCTCAAACTGAACAGAAGTGATCCGAGCGCCATTGTTTGGCCGCAGGTACATCCTCACGACGGACAGGCAACGAATGAGCATGGCAATGGAGCAGCGTGTCCTGTGATCTTCCTGCTGGCCAAGCATCCCACCTGCATGGAGGGCTGAGCTCTTCCGTATATCTCGCCTCGGGAAGGGCAAGGCAAATCGTTTTTATACTGCCTTTCGGGGCCCGTGGAGGCTGCTGCAAGCGCGCCAGCTCTCCGGAAGGTATGCGACAAGAACTGGCACATGGTGACGTAGGGACAACAGTTTGATGCTGGCTTGGCTGCTCCTCGCAGAGAGGGCTTCAGCAAATCAGGCAGTAGGATTACTTGCCTGGTCGAGTCCACATTTGCCGTGATGGGCTTGTTTGCGCGGGCAGAGGCTCACGTTCCAGCTGATCCTCGCGCATCGCCGCTTACACCCGACGCCGCTATGGAAGACGTGATCTCCAAGAGGCAGGGTGGCTGCTCGCTTACATCGAAGCAAGTTGTTCTTTTCCTGGAAGACTTCTTTCTCCTTCTACGAGCAGACGCTGGCAAAATTTATCCAGGTCAAGATTTGGATAGATCTCAGGCGAGCCAAGGGGTGCCAGAAAAGCAACAACTTAGCGGAGAAACAGGCGTGGTTCCGTGACTTGGTGTGGCACCACTACAAGATGCACAAAGGGTGCCAGCTCAATAATGCAGCGGATGCACTGAAAGTCGATGGCGACTTGCAAGTAGTCGAGGTTTTCTCCAGGCGTCTTGGGTTCTGCGTGGAAAACTTGCTGCAAGTCGACCTGAAGCCTGTGCCGCAGAAAGTCGTGCTGCAGAAAGTCTTGTCGTCGCAAGTCGTCCCGCTGCCAAAGCGTCTGCAAGCTTCGGAGGAGCCCAGGAAGCGACCTTGGTCCCCAATTTTCCGAGGGCAATGCTCAGGCGGCCCGGCAAGCCGCCCTTGCCCAAAGCAATGCCTCAGAGACCGCAAAATCCACCTCAGCCAAAGGCGACGCATAAAGAAGCCACTTGTGCCAAAGACGATGCTGAAAAGGCCCGAGAAGCCCCTGCCGAGAAAGCACGAGAATCCGGCTATGCCAAAGGCTATGCCCAAGAAGCGACCGCTCCACGCGCTGGAGGAGGAGATAGCTAACACGCCGCTGCCAAGGCCATTGCCAAAGAAGCACCCACGACCAAGGTGTGAGTATGTCGACTAGGGCTGATCATCATCCCGCGTAACGCATTGCTGATTGGTCGATCTTGGAGATTGAGGAGATGGCGACTGGAAGCCCCAAACTCTAAACCCTGAACCCGAAACCTAAGCGAACTGTAGCCCGCAGCAAGCGTTGCGCGAGCCATTTTCAACCCGAAGCTAGCACTTGTCACAGAGCACGTAGTGACACGGAGAGAAAGCCGCAGACGTTTTTGCCTGAACAGCAAAGTGTTTTGCGCGAACCTGCCCTCACCACCAACAAATTTTGGTCCCTTTGCCGGCTTGCAGAGTCGCAAAAGGCGACAGGGCGCTTGTAAAGCCGCCTTCCTATTGTCGCCAAAAGCACTTTTAGAGCTCTACTTGGTGCCTGCGCGCTGCGGTTGCAGTTGTGAATGGACTAGGCGCGGTCCTTGTGAATGTCTAGATTGGCTTATTTCCAAACAAGGAACATGCCCTAGGCGTGAAACCTTGGCCAAGCTTTCAAAAAGTTGCTCATTGGTACGTGAATTGGTTGGAGGAGACATGATTTAACATAATTAGAGCAGGTTTGTTGGACCTACGAGTTATCACGCATGATCCTTTGGAGATCCGTGGGTCCGTGGAGCTATGCATGGCCAGTTCAGCAAAGAGTGACACTGAACGTGTGCGACCAGTGAGGTACAGGGTGCCGTTTGAGGCTTGGGCTGTGTTCAGAATGTAGCGTGTTCGCCAACACGGCGCTCCTGATTTCTGGTGCGACATGGAGGTATATCTTACTCACTTTCACCTCTAGGCGTTTCCTTCCTGCCTTGTTTTGGTATTGCCGTGCCAGGCGACAGGGCTTTTGTTGGGGCGCCTTTGCATGTGTCCGTTCCAATGGCTACGAGATCCTTCATGGCAATTGCATCCCGAGTGTGGCGTAAATGGCAGTAGTCCCACAAAGAGATCGAAAAATCACATTTGCCCCGCAAGTGCGGCCATTGTTTTTTGCGGATGTTTGCACCTTGGGAGAGCAGCCCAGCCAGAGCAACAATTGCCGTTTGGGTTCGTAACCATGTTTAGACAGTCGTTTCCTTAGGAAGTCACCACCCTGCTTGCCGTTGGTGAGGTAGGGCATATTGTCAAGTTGTCTGAACTTGCCTTTCGGCTTCAGTTTGGAGCACATGGGCCAGACATCTTCATGTTGGATAACGGAATGGGTAACAATAACATGTTGATGCTTCACAGCAAGTCCATGTTATGCAACGCCTGTGGACTTGAGCTCTTGAGGTCTTATCTCATGTTCGTTATACATTTAAAGCAAAAAGCTGATGTGGCAAGGAAAGGCAAAGCGCCCATCGGATGGAAGCTAGTCAAGAGCGGTACCTATCTGCAGCAGTTTGGAAGTCCCTGCACGGCTTGGCCAGTGAGGGCACAAGGATGCAGGCTCGGGACATGGCCTTGGCTCTGTGCAGCATGCCAAAATTTTATTTTGTGATGCCAGCATGCAATGAGAGAGGCTCCCTCAAGCAAAGCACCTTTGCCTAGGGATATATGGGCAGCTCCAAGTTGTTACAGGATACGTACCTAGTTCATAACAGCAATGCCGTCTGCCAGGGCGCATCAGCAAGTGCAACTTCTGTCAGGCAGGAAATGGAGCAAGCATAGAAGCAGATGAATGTCGAGATTTCGTTTAGAACGTCACGGGAGCTGGTTGTACTGCCTGATGATCATCGTATGATATAATGCTGGCAGAATGCGCTGTAGTTCACTGCACTTGTCCTTCCCTACCCTTTCGCATGTTTCCTTCGCGGGTTGCTTTCCTCCCGAATTCGCAAGCCATCCAAAACAGCATGTTTTAGAGGCATCTAGTCGCACTGCAGGGGATTTGCATGATTTGTTCTGCCCTTGTCCATCTGAATCTGCACACGTTAATGTTGAAGTCTCGGAAGCTAACCCTGACCTTTGCGCCCAGACCACGTCACCTAAACAGCAAGCACCAGCAAGGCATTTGAGGACGATTATCAGTTCGTCAACGCTCTAATAAGGCTGAAACGTGCCGTGCCTGGCAGTGCTTCACGTGCAGGACAGCAAGGGAACGAAAGCAACGCAAGCTTGGAAGCTTCCATGCCAGCCAAATGGAAGTTGAACATTTACTGTGTATGCATAACGTCATTCCTTTTCGCCTTTTTTCGGTGCTTTGCCAGGCGTTTGCGGCGGGAACTCCAGCTCATTCAGCAGTCGCCAAATTCGCAGGCTGTGCAGACCGTGAGTTGTAATTCTAACAGAATCAATATCATCCCCTTTGATTCAATCTGCAGACCAGTCACAACCGAGGGAGAATTGTCTCATTGGGTGGGGGTCTGCAGAAAAGAGGGTGCAACTTTGCGTAACATTACCTTCTGCAGCCCCGGTGGAAGCTGGAATGGAAGCTGCAGATCGAAGATGGTATTTATACCGAAATGGGCGTACATGAGTGCCCACGTTACAAAGGAGCAACTTAGTCCAGATACCATGTGTTCATGTTGCGCAGCGGTTCTTGCCAAGAAAAGAGTCAGAGAACTCGTTCCATGCAGGAAGAATAAGACCACGAAGCTCGCTCAACATGCGAAATGTAGGCATGAGATAGGAGCATCACTTCGGAATCCTTACCCTTGCAAACGCAGCCGATCTGGTCCTGTTTCTCAGCCTGGGTGTTTTTTCAAGAGTCTTGTAACATGTATGTAGCAAATTGTACAAGCGTGCCGTGGAAGACTAAGTCGTCTAAACTTGCCATCTTATTGGCAATCGACATCGGAGAGTTTGCTGTGCGAGGGATGGCTGTGCTGGTATGCACCATTGTGGAGGTCTCCTCACCCCTTTGAAGTTGTCACGAGGGTCAGGCAGTCATCTTGCCAAGGGTCCGCCAAATTTCAACTGCTCTTTCTGCATTGCAGCGGGATCAGGATGCAGGGTATAGGGCACGGGGCTCAGTTCAAGGCAAGCCTCTAGGCGGATCATTGCACCGATTCAAGGGACTGCTTTCCAGCTCCGTCAATCGTCAAGCCCAAGCGGAAGTGGGGTAGACAAATGATGCATGGCTTCTCGCTTTGTCAATACTTTGAACTTTGCTGGCTGCAATCTGTCGACATGTGCAGGAAGACCATAGAGATGGCAAAATGACCCACAAAGCATATGTAGGTGGGAATTTGCGAAACAGCTTGCTTTGTCTGCCACTCGTCTTTCCCGCAGGGGTCCTATAGTGTGCACGTTTCCACCCCATCCTTACCGCCTCTTCTCGACATGTGACTTGTTTGTCCAGATAGCCGTCAAGCCCTCCAGCGCATCTCTGCTGGAGCCAGAGCCCAAGAGGGCTTTATCAACTGATGTTGAAAGGCATGATTTAATGTTAAGCTTCTCACTGCCTGACCTGGGCAGTGTCACAGTTGTACTATTTAGATGCTGTCTCTGAGATTTGTTCAGTTGGCCGCGATTCCTTTTGCAGGTGGCATTTCGCCCTGCATTCTTTGCCCGCTGACAGGTCCACTGCATGTCATGTTCGGCAGTTTGCAGCGTCGGTGCTGGGATGAAGCTTGTTCTAGAGGACATATGATGTGCTAGGTTTCAGCTGAAGAGCATGTAATGGAACCAATTCTCCGTCTAGCGCCAGCAAAGCAGAGTTGCCCATGTTGCGCGAGTCCTTATCGCGGCGGATGCTACCACGGAAGGCGTCCCAAGCAGTTGCTGGTATCAGGTTCTCCTTGTCACCTGCAAAGGCTGCACAAAGCTGCTCTAAGCTGCTCCTTCGTGTCACTCTTTCACACAGTGTTGCGCTTTGGGCTTGCAGCTCTACAAAGTCAGCTTGGGATTGGTTGGTTTGTCGGTTGGAACATGAGGCTGGCATGAGGAAATGAGCGAAGGCAATCATGTCAAAAGTGCATCCTGACGTGGAAGGCTGCTCTTTCCCAATGACTACCCGCATGCACCACCAACCGTGGTGGCTCGGTATTCATTTTCATTCCTTGCCAACTGGAGTCTAGAGCTTCATCCTTTAAAGTGGGTGCCAAGAGAGGATCGGCAGTCCATGCAACCATTCAGGTCATGGTAACCCCCAGCGGGAGGCTGGAGACAGGTTGCCGCCTGTGCAGCAAGCTCAGACAAGCTCGGATGTTGCGGCCCACAGCTGGAGCATCGTCGGAAACAAGACACCAGTCCAGATTGATTTGACGCGCAAGCATGAGGCCTGAGCATGACCGATTTTCATCCAGAGGCATTCCCGGCCTGTCCTTCAACGCCAGCACGACCTGATCCCATCTTTTGTGCTGCCACGGTGTAAGCCATGTTGGTACATTTCGCACAAAAACAGATCATTATCACATCAGCTTGCATCATGAATTAAAAGCTCTCAAGTGCAAAGAGAGAGCTCGTACGGGCAAGTGTCTGGCAGAGCCAGTGCAATCTAACAAGTTGATCATGAGAACCGAATGAAGAAGGCTAGGTCCACTGCTTCAGAAGCGGTAACAGGAAGCGTGGGCCCCCCTTTTCAAAAAGGTACCCATCAGCTTATTCAGCACTTTGGTGGTTGTAGAGATCAGTCAGACCATGCCAGAGCTGGAACCCTGCCTGGTCCGTGGACACCATCCTCACGGGCTTGCTGTCCTACTTCCTCTCGGATGCGGAGTCAGGCCAGGAACCCAGAAACTTCAATGCCATCCTTGGCAGCCAGCTTCTGATGCTCAATGTTGGCAAGAGCTCTCCAATACCCTCTCTCCTGAATGCCCCGAAAACAGAACTCTTCTTCAAACTGGCAACACAACCGTCAGCGGCAGCAGCAGAAGCGGCTGTTCCGTGCGTGCTGGCATTTGTCATACTGGTTCTCGGTAGGGAATAAGGCAATGTAACCCCTATGTAATCCCCATGTACCGTTTTGCCTGATTCCCTACTAACCCCAAGTAAGTTTGTGGACGCCGGTGTTGCCCTTCTGTTGTCATCATCCTGGCTGTCCTTGTCTGCTCGCCAACATTCATCCCGGTCATGGTGGTTCTCGAAACAGTTAATTGCTTACGGCAAGTATCCCGATGGCACCGATCTTTTCGAGAATCTCTCCAGACTCTATAGATCAAGCAGTGGCCCCAGGCTACGGATCCATCAGAACTTCCTGGGAGACTCGGCAATCGCTTGCGGAAGAGTCATGGGCACCTTGCCTCTCGATGGAGCTGATGTGAAAGGGCATAAGAAACGTTAAAAGTCTGGAGGAGAGATGCATGATACCGTATTCAGCTTCGTCCAGGCAGCCAACTTGGCGGATCCCGAGTTCACGCAGCTTTTTCCCGAGCTTTGCAGTCCCCAGCAGAGGCAGACGGCTTTGAGAGATTCACATTCTCGAAATCTAGGCAGTTTCAGATTTGGATCACTCTTTCCTTGGTGACCAGCCTCTTGTGCTGTGAGAACCCACAATTGCGATAGGCCGAACTCAGCGAAGCAGGCCACTGGCTCACACCTCAGGGAAGATGAGAGTGTATCAAATTACAGCGACTTCTTATGTTGATTACATGGAGTCCCGCAGCATTGAATGCAGCAACTGCGCGCCAAACCCGGGAAGCATGGTACTGTAGGTAGTCGCTGGTCTTTCTGTTGTTGACTGAGGCCAGGCGGAGACGCAGGCAGCGCCGCGGCAAAGCATCAGGAGAACAGGTAGAGGTTCCTGAGGTTTAAGTCAGGGCGCGAGGGAAGAACAAGCCTTAAACCCCCTAAGCCCTAAACCTAGCGGTCTTGAAGTTGCTCCTTTCAGGCTCGCGAGTGTTGGATCTGTAGAGATTCCGGCCCTGAGCCTCTGATCCACCCGTGCGCGTGCCGTGGGTCGGCCTGGCTCCGCTTACCAGCACATAAGGGAATACAGCAGTAATTCATAGTAATTCAGTATTGTAGTTTGGGATAATTGAAACTAAAATGGAAACTACTACTGTTTAGGGTTTGGGGTCTACGATTTTGGGTTTAGGGTTTAGGGGGTAGGAATATGAATATGGCAGTAGTATAGGAACAATGGAAAAGAAAATGGGAACTGCTATATTGTAATAGGGTACACATTGACGTACACTGACACAGATCTTTCTGCCATACTGAGGCCTGCTTAATACAGGTAAACATAATAATCAGAAATACTACAAGTAGTAAGAATAGTAGTAAGTAATGATAATGATAAGAGTCGTAACAATAGTAGCCATCTATCTGCTTCTATGCTGAACTGCAACATATGTGCCAATGTCCCGACAAATGACTTGTGACATGCTGAACCCAGCTGCCCCGATGCCATTTTCGAAAGCAGTTTTGGCGAGTGACGGTGCTCGAGCACGATTTTTTATGTGCCGTGTCTGAAGAGCAGACGTGGAAGATGCTGTTTGAGCAAGTTTGCTTGTCTGAACAAGGTGATGAAGCGTCGATGGCTTGTAGTCTTGGCCGTGCCTTGGCAGAGTTGCTTCATGAACTGGAAAGCAGGTAGTACTAGGTAGTTCTTTGTAGAACCCATAATTGCAAACGCTAGCATGTCCACCTCAGCAAACAGCTTCGCAGGTCGCGACTTGTTACTCTGACACAACCCAACCTGAAGAAGGCTCTACTCGTCACTCTATCTGACATCTGTCGAATACGAAGCTAAGACTGGATGCCTGTGAGTGCGCACACTTATTCTGTATGACAGGAGATAAGAGAGCGAGTGCCCAAGGCATGAGATTAGGCTGCATGCGCTAACCGCGACCGTCTTGTCAAGTCCTGTAGGAGAGCTGCAGAGGAGGCTTACTGTGGAGAAAAGTCAACACCGGTTGTAGAGTCACTCAAAACTAGGCATGCTAGCATGTTCTGTCATAGAAGCAGATGCGCACACTGGGCCAGAGGCGCACACAAAGTAATCCAGATTTGGAGACCTGCATGTTGAGGCATGGCCGATGCTCGCGCTTCTCCGACCCGAGAAAACCTTTGTCGTGCCGCGTGTGCTCCGCCAGCACTTGATGACCATTCTGTGGGCGGGGCATGTTCGACAAGAGCTAGATAGAGCTAGAAAGGGTTCCATGCAGGGCTAATCAGTCTTCGAAGTCCTGCCTGTGTACTTTGGAATGGCACTCCATCTGCGCCTATGATGAAAGTTGCTACAGAGTAGAGACTGCCAGGCTGTTAGCGTAGCATCGCCAGTGAATCTTGTTCAGCGCTTCGAGGAGCTTCAGCTTAGGCTGCGGAAGCGCCAGAGGTCACATCCGGCCGAACACATGTTACCACGTCACAGGCTTCAGCCTGGAACGAGGTGCGGCCAGCGATATTCAAGCACTAGCCATCATTTATGTTCGCAAAACGTGGACATGCAATTCTGCCATGTGTTCTGCAGGCTCAGGCCACGGGCAGAGCCTCCAATCTCGGATCGTTCATAGGCGGGCGTGCAGCCAGTTGGATTCATCCGGCAACGGCCAGACCTTGAACTTACACTGCATGAGGCGCAGCCTTGGGCCTTCTGCTGGCCCTGGCAACAGCAGCACCCGCCCTGGCTGGGGATGGCTCGCCCACAGGTACGCAAGCTGCAGCTGGTTGGTGGAGAGATTACGCAAGTCTTATTCGTGACCTGGTGCTGTCAGGGTGTGGCAGCCTGGGTGTCTTTTTTGAGTAAATTGCAGCTGGTCGCTATTCGCAGCCTGCACAGGTTTCGCTGAGTTTGCTCGAAAGGGCGGCAAGATGGACGCTGTGGCCGGGCTGAACTCATGTCGGCACGGCCCCAGAGCCATTAAGAATAGAAGAGGGATGAAAGCGGAGACTAGTTTTCACACACGAACTGCTGCAGTCACGGTTGTCTCAGGATGTTGGCTGCTTCTTCAACCAGTGCGGAAAGCAAACAAAGGCCTGTGATGCTGTGTGCACTTGAGGAGGTAGGCGGCGACGAAGAGATCTTGAGCTGGAAAATTTGGACCATATCGCAGGAGTGCTTTGTTGAAGACGGGCGATGTCTGCAACTTGAATGCAAATGAGGGCACCATTCTTTATCAAAACCCTCAGTATCTCTCATTCAGGAAAGGCGCCACCTGCCTTGCCAGATGTCGGGGAGATTCGGACTCTTGGCTTAGCTGGCGATTCTTTGGTTTGTGTGGGATCTTGGGGGTAGAGGCTCCTGAAGATGCTGCCACACAAAGGACTGCTCCACACAGTGCTTCGCTGAGTTCGGCTGTCCCAGGCCAGAGGTAGAAATGGAAGCCACTGCGCATGTCGGGGGTCAAGGTGATACTTTCTCCATTTGCAGAGGGTTTCCTACACTTTGATCTTGAACATCACACATCGAAGATTTCACAGTCCTTGAGAGCATTGACTTATCAGATGACAAGGAACCGACTCTGACTAGGAAGGCAGGGCCCACTTCAGACGGGTAAGTTTGTAGATGTGGTCCGGTCAGAGGTGTTGACAGGGGTGGGTGGGGATGCGGTTGGAGGAGGTTTTCCTGAAAGATTTGGTCGTGGGGGGGGGGGGGGGGGGGGG